AAAAAAAAAAAAAAAAAAAAAGGCAAAGCCGGCAGAAGAGATTTGATGATGAAATTTGGGAATTGGTTTGGGTCCGACATGCATTGACAGAGAGATCTCGACCCAATGCCCACCTAGCTAATTCAAGTTATATATAATATGGCCCACAGGAAAATGCAAATGTTGGGATGTTGGAACCCTTTGACATTAGCATAAAGAAGAAAAATTCTCATAAATAAAGAGAATACACAAATTATTCTTCTCAACTGAGAAGGAAACAATTTTGTAGAAGCTTTTCGTTTTTTTTGTCTTTAAAATAGAGAAGCAAGATGTAGATTTTGACAAAAAAAAGCTCACTCACTTCCAACGTTTACATCACATTAATAAAAAGGTAACAAGCGTCCTTTACATATAATTGTATCACTTATGGCTTAACTATGCTTGCTTAATGTATAATTTTACCTCAATATACTAGTTTTTTTTTTAACCCCAGAAAACCTTACAGTGAGCACTCTGTGCGCACTAGGTAAACCTCCCACTATGTAATAGCCTGCAAATCACATAAGGGATGTAAATCGCACTAGGTAAGCCATTTGCGACAAGCTCGGCCTAGAAAGCATTAAGGAGGGATCGATCCCAGGCCATCTGTATGGATGACCGTCCTCCAAACCACGATCAATTAATGCTTTTGAATTTTGATATAACATATAAGCACCGTGTGGACAAGTCTTTTTCTGAATTTTGTGGGGTGAGTGCCACTTTTTTGAATACTAATGCTCAACTTATTTGCTTGATTTAATGGATCATTAAATTGTGTTATATTGTAGTCTTTTGTATGACAACTACCTCATTATATATCTTTGATATCCCAGAATTTGTTCTTGGTGCTTTAAGGGTTCGTACATGATTACTCTATTAATTACACTTACAGTGTATACTTTCAGGATTTGTTGATTGCTCCTGTGTAAGATAGTCATGAAATGTATAAAATTTTGACACATTTGGGGACTATTGTTATCACGAAAATCCTTATATTAATTCATGAATTAAACAAGAGAGAAATAAGGATATGTATGCTAGGTACAATACATTTTTCATTCATACATATAAATTTTCTTGAAAAATGTATTACATATGAAAATCACTTCCTAATTCTTTTTCCTCTGCTAATATAAGGCAATAAAACATTGTTTTTTTCCTTCTTTTTAAGGGAACACTCAGCAAACAAAAGTTACTCTACTTGACAGTTCAACATTGAGTTATCACTTGCAGTAGGAAGAGGAGTTCAAAAGTCTTACAATTTCCAATTTGTGACAGTATGTGTAAATTTGCATCCTCCTTTTTTCTAGAATTGCATATCTAACTAGGATAATTTACAAAAGAAATACGACTAGAAAATTTCATGTAAATTTCCCTTACATCAATTGAAAAAAATGAAATCAACTGCCTTGTATGTGTAATCTTTAAACCAACCTGTGATTCTCGAATACTAAGACGTGAAAAATTGAGGAAACCAAAGCTAAAAGAAAGCTGCTATTTTCCTACAGCACCTACGTTGTTTCCAATCTAACAGTTGGCATATGAAATTTCTCAAACCGCGGTTCAGTTAAATCCACTGCTTCATCATCTTGCGGGCTCCAACTTCGGGCATTTGAGCTCTGGAGTAGTAGTTTCTCTACATATGCAGCATGAATAACATGTTCTTTCTGATCACTAGTTTCGCCACAATGATTGAACTCGCAATGTGGCGACAACAAGCAGTGAGCTGAGCGATTCTCAGACGTGATCTGCTTGATCTCCTCAGCTTCAACAAAGCCGGGACTTTCTCCATAAGTACTCTTTCCATCATAACTAAACGAGCCCTATATAATGTATAAAGAGCGTTAGCAGATCTGTCAGTATTTTCTTATGCAATATCTATGACATATCAAAACATCTACTTATGGGATCTACTTATTACTTCTGTATAAAGTTCTGTACGTTTGGATTAGATTACCAAAAAAACACGGTTCACAAGTAGACAACCATGTAACAAGATGACAAAGACGAGGATAAGTAATGCTGAAAGAGCTAAGTAAAACACGAAGATGATGACAAAATGCTCAAAGAGTTAGCCCAAACAAGAACTACAATGACAAAGGAAATCAGCTGCACTGAGAAAAGGAAATTTAGAATTGTGTGAAGTGCCACCTAAGTGGTCTTTCCAGCGGAAATAATATTCTAATTCCCAACTTTTCAGAAAAGACAAAAATATCATAGTAGCAGTTTAAGATCATCTCTTACAAAGATTTTCCTGTGTTTAGAAAGGTTAAATGCAGCTACAAGATGTCTATTTTAAATCAGATTGTATATGTAATTTGGCGCACAACACCTAGTAATTTTACCCCTTTTAGAAGTTTCTAATATGGGGTTACAAATAATTGGTGATTTTTGTCTGTTCGTTAAATCAGCAGATGACAGCTATGCAAACTTAAATTGGCAAATGAAAATATGGTAGATTGGCAACAGAAAACCAAAATAAGTTTATTCGGATACCTTGAACTCATCTCTCGAGAGTTCAAGTTGATTTAACGAAGTGTTTCGGATACCTTGAACTCATCTCTCGAGAAGTGTTTCCTTTTAGATGTTTCTGGGGCAATAGTTGACAAAATTTGAACAACCTCACTCATCGTTGGCCGAGAATCTGGGTCCAATAGAAGACACTCCTTAGCCAAGTAAGCCATTACCTGCATCTCCTCTTCTTCAAATTCTCCTTTCAAATTTGGGTCTGGCAACTCTGAGACCACACGCCTACTGTCTAGCAGACGAGGGGTTGCCTATATTAGAGATGAAAATTAGTACTCGTCATTATCTTTTTGCTATTATTTGGGGTTAAGCTTTGACAGAGGACTAAGGTTTCCAAAAATCAGAGGACATAATTCTATCCAATTCAATACTGCTATTCCTAGAAGAGTAAGTAAAAATGCTAAGTGAATTGGAGGAGAGGGAGAAACATTTTATTAACTTTTCATACCCATATCACGAGGCTCTCTTCTGCCTTATTAGCCGACTTATGTATTGGTTTTCGTCCAGTTATCAGTTCAAGGAGCACAACCCCAAAACTGAAAACATCAGACTTCAAAGAAGCTCTTCCAACAATTGCATATTCAGGTGCAAAATAGCCAAATGTGCCCTGCATCCGAGCAGGAGAACTGGAACCACTAGGAATACCATCATTTTGAAGGTGTTTTGCCATGCCAAGATCAGTAATCTGAACATGCATATAGTGGTAGTCAAAAACAAAGTGGGATATTACGTGATGAAAGCTACGGAAACAAACGATTTGCAATTTGAAGTAGTATTTATTAAGTTCGGCAATACTAAAAAGACTACTCTAGAATCAGCATGCTAAAGTCAACGACTAATAATGGCTAAAGAAAAATGCAATCAATTAAACACAACTGCTGCATTGAAAAAGAATTGAAGCTAACTCCTCAGTATTTCCTTGGTAAGTGGAAACTGGGTCACAGGCTCACAGCTAGCCTTATTTCCGGCTTATTGATCAATGTAACAGATTTCCCTTTAATTATTTTATTTGGACCTTGGTTTAAACTTACCTTTGCTCTATAGTTCTCATCCAATAGAACATTAGTGGATTTAACATCTCGGTGTAAAATTCTTGGTGCAGCTGCTTCGTGGAGATACTCCAAGCCACGTGCAGCTCCAAAAGCAACAGCGACCCGTGTACTCCAATCGAGGTGTCTCCCTGATGCTCCATCCAGACAATCTCTCAGATTGCCATTTGCCATGAACTCGAAAATAAGTAGCCTCTCGGCATGTTTCCCATGGTGTTCGGAGCAGTATCCAAGCAATGGAACCACATGACAATGATGAAGTCTTGATATGAGTTCTATCTGGCAAATGAAAAGATTTTTAAATAACTTTTTCATTCTGTAGTCGCATGTGTAACAAGATTCTCAAAGTAGAATGTTTAACATATCAATTGAATGATCCTTTGAGATATTACCTCCGTCAAGAAAGCAGAGTCAGTGTCCTGTCCTGCCTGAGTTTTTATTCGCTTAATTGCAATAGTTCTTCCATTTCTGAGATAACCACGGTACACATGGCTGCTTCCTCCGACCCCAATCAAATTGGAATCAGAGAACTTATTTGTTGCGCTCTCTAAGTCAGCATATGAAAATTGAATAATCGTCCCATAAAATACTCCAGATTTTCTTTTGAACATAATACATGCTTTGGGAACACAACCTACAGGATAAAGTTCAAAGAGAAATTAACCCAATTATTGACATCAGGAAGTTCATATCATCTATCAAAAGCACTCCTAAATGTGTTAGAAAAGTGAATTACTTGAAAATTCATCATATACACAAAGTGATACATTATTAACATCTGCAGATTCAACTCACGATCTAACTCAAATCATTTAAGGAAAGCCAGGTTTACCTGTAACACAGTTGGAGGAACCAGTGTACCGTCCATGTTCTGCAATTGAAGTTCCTTGGCTTAGTATTAAGTTGGTAGTACTGTTGTAACTTGTTTCTTTGTCTGATGAAAATAGAGCTCGTTGGATAGAATATTTATCCTTTCTATACACATAGCACAGCATCGAAGCAACAAAACCAAGCGTAATGACGGTTGCACATAGTAAGAGCATGACCAAAATAACTTTGCTGGATATGCTCTTCTTAGGTGACTGCTTTTCAAGTTGAGTTCCTGTTCAGAAGCAAACACATAATTAATCAACTAATTGAACCTTCTAGCGGAGCTAAATTCAATTGACGGTTGTAAACAGATTCACAATCAAGGATAAAGAATCAGCAAAAACTAGTGTGCAGGAACTAGGACAAAAGCAGATAATTAAGTTTGCAAGTTTCTAAAGCAACATACATTTTCTTAAACTGTTTCAAAGATCAGTACAGGTAGAAAAATACCATAATGGCAATCACAGGCTGTAAAACAGCTGCTATAACTATTAGCAGCAGCCACTCTAGGTAGTTCATCAGCGGCACATATGCATATCCATCTGTTCTTGCTTGATTTGTCTGCAGAAATGCATAACGCCAAATCAGTGCACACTGGACTTTTCTATAATTGTTTGATACTGCATATGACAAGATCAACATGCAAAAAGAAGAAGAGTTTTGTCAAGTTTCTAAAAGAAAAGCAATAAAACATACAGTTGAGGACTGCTCAATACCAGAGGAAAGCTTATTCATGAGAGCTTGTTTGAAACCAAATGCTCCTCGTGTCTTTGGAACTGAATTCTTCTTATCAAATTCGAAGTACCAATGGAGTTCTTTCGTGTTTTAGAAGCATTAGTTGGTATTTAGCTTTAGAAAAAAGAGCTATTTTCCAGCTTACAACCACAGAGCAAAGAGCAATGCATGTGCAAAAATCAGCAGTAATGATTATATGAGCAGTATGCCTCTTATACTTTTCCAATCTTACAACACTCTTGATAACATCCAGAAATAATTAGCTCCATGTTAGTTTGTGAGGATGACATTATGATAAGTTAAAATTACATGCTTTAAGTAGTATTAGCAGCAACCCAAACACTATAGCAATTGCCATACAGCAGCAAAGAGCTCACAAAAACAGGGGAAAGAAAAACATACCAAGAGTGCAATCACAGGATGATGAACAGTTTTCTGGAACAACAAAACTCTGGTTGGCAAGACAGCTGCAGGTCCACTTACTTGTTACTGATGCATTTTGTCCTTCATCTGATAAAGAGATAGATGAAGTTTCAATTTTCTGCATGTGCAAGTCAAAGGGAATTTACATTGTCTCATTGCGTGAAACAAACTATAATAAAAATGTAGAGTAATCTCTTGTAAACCGGAGCTAGACAACTCCTTACTGCTTATATAGGTCGGACTCAGCTAGAAGTGAATTAAATAGAACATCCAGAAAAGGAAAAGGCTACTTTGATCTGTAGTCTCTAGACTTTCACAGAATGAAATGGAATGAAGAGACTGCAATACTCCCAACAAGAATACTCACCGCCAGCAATTTGCTGTATCCAGACCAAGCTAATGAGGAAAGCAATTGCAGCTTCCTTTCCGAACCTCATTTCTTGTTGACAAATCTCTGAGCTTTTTGCCAAGAATGTGAGACAAAATAGAGGAAAAAGTTATAAAAAGCCGCCAACGTATTAAATACCAGAATAAGCACCATTGGAGTACTACAACTACGAAACAGTGAGTCTTAATGAGACTGGCAATGGCACAAGTACAAGAAAGATGCATGCAATTCAAAATACAGAAGTGGGTTTCTGGGAGAACCAGCTACTTTTGAATGTGATAGAACTTAAAAACTGTTTCTTCAGAATTTCCAAGTTAACATAAAGTTGAATAAGAAGATTACTTTAGTATGTGTACAACTTAAAGTTAGCAAATTTATATCTCTTTATTTATCCTTCAAACCATCAAAACCAGTTGAGATGCTAGGACCGAAGCAAAGGAAATACATGATACAAATTAACATAAATCCTAGTTGATTTGTAGTCTTCGATTGTTAGTTGTGCTGCATGTTCTTCAAAGTTCAAACCATCAATTCTTGAGATGTTTGATAGTATATTCACTAATTGAACTTGAATTAAATCAACAAAATAGTTTCATAAAAGCTTTTAATAACAATTAAAATATTTCAAAATAATGAATAAAGAGATATCTTACCAAAGAGTAGTTCACTCATGAAATCTTCATCTCAAGGACCATTCTGCAGGAAGGTGATGCCAAACCATTACATTGTATAACAATTACACAACATAATCCAACTAAGAACATTATAAGAGCACATCACGACACTGTCTAAGGTCATCTACAAATCATTATTCTGGTACAAAGAGAAAAAACAGAGGGGGTTAGAAGATTTCATGTCATCCACAAATTTTCCAGTGCAAGAAGAAAAGACAAAATGAACAACCTGGAAAACAATTTCAGATTTTCACTTTCCAAGTGTCAGGTAAGGGTTATAAATATCAGAAATAAGGGAGAAGGAAGAGAATCATGGATAATTTGATAGATAGGACCAAATAGACGGTAGGCCAACAAATGTTGGTAGGTTTGAACTTCTCTAGGTGTAAATTTTGAACTTCTTCTGCAACATAAATATCACAAACAGTTGTTGTCGGTTTTCCTTATTCGCTTTTCTTTAAAAAATATGGAATCTTGATCAGGTCAATTGATAACCCCCTAATAGAAACTAGTAAATTATGATCAATGAAGCTGAATAGATAGTAAGCTTGAGAGAAAGTAATGCTCAACTAACAGGTTTAAATGCAGTGTTCAAAGAACTTGCACGTGCCAACCATCTAACCTTCTACCACTGAAGTTACATCAGACAATTAAGATGACACTCAGTCCCTAACATTTAAAAAAAAAAAAAAGAAGCATAAACCAAGACAATCCCAGTTAAGACAGCAATCAACATATATATCCTACCACGTTTCTTGAATTGCGCCCAGCAGAGAACTGAAGCAAGGGAACATGGAGAGGCAGCCGCGTGCTCTACTTGTTTCAGATGAGTCAATTTTGTGATTAAAGCAAAAATGTTACACCTAGAGAGCAAGAAAGGCTCATCTTTACCACTTATTCATTAGCTGAAAACTGCAGCACAACCAGAGAGTATCACAACTATGCTTACTAACATATAAGGTAGACCCATCAAAGATTAAAGAATAGAAAGGCCAAAAAGTTAATGAAAAACAGTCATCTGACAGCAGACACCTAAAGACAAGGACATTTGGTTTTCTATATCATTCATCCACAAAACAACATTTCTAGAAAAAAAAAAAAAAAAAAAAAAAAAAAAAGGTTATAAAGCTAAAGGTCCGTTAGATAGAAAAATAATAAGTTATAAGGCTTAAAACCAAACTCCATGAAAGCAACTCGATTACAAATCAGAAAGAGACTTGTCAACAATCAAAGCAGTATAAATTACTAACCAGTATCAAATACTTTATAAATACAGCAACAAACTAATTGTGGGGGTGTATCTAATGAGTTTCACAAGCCGTTAACTTTATGCATTTTAGACCCTTTTGTATGCCACAAATAGTAAAGTCTACGAAATCTTTGAAAAGTCCTACTATGGTACGTGTATGCCAACGGTTAGAATAGACTTTGCTTCCAAGACATATTTTGGGGTTAGATAGAAACTAAAAAGTTGTGCCGCCTTGGCTTTGGCCTGGCCTGCACCATCAACTAGCAACAGAGTCCTTTGTATTACTCCACATTGGACTTTCTTGAGAGTGATGTTTCTTGAAAAAAGACGTGCACAAAACAAATTTTTTATTCAAGGGAGACCCACAAAATTAGTGTCGGTTGTCGGGTAAAGACTAAAGAGATATAGAAATTGGGAAAAGGTCCATGAAAATCTATGATGCCTTTCTTGTCTAATTACCAATTTTTTGACTCCCATTGGAGGGAAATAACGAAAATTTAACTTAAAGTTTTGCGAAGATATTACCTTTCTGTATTTTCAAGTGATTTTCCTTGGCAAAAGTTGTGCCACTTTATGCTTCTCAGAGTCTAATGTGTTACAAAGCAAAAAAGCAAAGGTGTAACGTTTTGTATACAGGTTTGAATATGCAGTAGTTTATATTTAAGTGGTGAATTTACTCATAATAAAGTTTAATCCGATATTAATAGATCAAATTTTCATAATTGAGAAGAAAGCATATAAATTCCAGACAGCAATGTCTTTCATTTTTTATTATAAGAAAATAAAGGAAATGTACAAAAACAGATACTTACAGAAAACTAGAAGTGGAGCAATTTCGTCAAAAGAAACTCTGAAGTTGGATGTTATGATGGGAAGAGCCAGCTACAGGTTACACTAACGTTTAGGGCAGATGTACATTTAAATATTTAATATTTAATGCACCATATTATTATATCATTAGAGACGGATTCAAAATTTATTTAATATTTAATGCACCATATTATTATATCATTAGAGACGGATTCAAAATTTATTTAATATTTAATGCACCATATTATTATATCATTAGAGACGGATTCAAAATTTTAATTCTATGGGTTCAGAATTCAAAGTTTTAATCTTGAACTTATCGCACCTGAGATACCATATCCTCCTACATTGATCGAGAGTTATGTAATTTAAAATTTTTAAAAATATTTATACAATTTTCTAAAAGATATTAGACGCAATGATATTGCAATGACCGACTTCAAATCCTGAATATAGCTCTTTAACATAAACGTGAATGTTGGCTCCATCAGTAATGAGGAACTGAATCTTTACTAAAAGCATAAGGATTTTTTCTTTGAATTTTCAAATGGAGAGAGTGATATCAAAGTTCAGAAGTCACGTCGCATGGCAAAGTAGCATTTAATTTGACATACCTTTTCGATAGGTCCACAATGAAGAACTTTAAATCCTGTTTTTTCAAACACTCAATGAAAGCGAACTTATCACTAATTTAATATCCATGATTAGTTCTATACACTAATAATGCAACAAACAAATATAGAAAACTGTCCTTTTATTTTTCTATTTTTCTCATCCTTGTATCGTCTGCCGACACAGTTCAGTTACTGGAGTCAAATCACTTGAAAAAGTCAAGTTCGTCGACATACCTATGAAATCCTCCGGCGACGGCGACGATAACGGCGACTTTGAACTATACTGAAACGACGCTGGCTAGTTAGTAGTAGCGGTGGTGGAAATCGAAGAAGCAGCCGGAAATGCCACGTGTACAGCGGCAACGCTCAGAGAGCTCAGCTGGCGGAAATGTCACGTGCAATCATCCGCGTAATTTACCGGGGAATCAGCCGGAGAAAACGTGAATAGAAGATTCCGACTCCGAGGTGAGAAAAAATGGGCAGTGCTACGGGGACTAGCAGATCGAGTAGTAAAAGCCACAGCTGAACGCACTGTATTATGAACGTTCTATTTCATGTGCTCCCCTTGAGGTACTGCCACGTAAACAAGTGGGGCCCACTACTCGGATAAATACAGAACAATAGTACTCTACTAGTTCGCCTTTTATATCGCTTCAGTTTCGTTTTATATAAGGGTAAGTGGGGCCCAGATAGCCATGTGGGAAATTGGTCTTCCCGGTGTGGCAGCGCCATTTTTTGAACTGTTAACTAGGAGTATGTTTTTGGCGCAATAATGGGCTATTATCAGTTGCCACGTGGCTGCTTGTACTTTGTCATAATGATTTTCTTACGGCTTGTTTGGATACTTGTTACGTAACGTTTTATAATGTATCGTATCGTACTGTAGTGTATCGTACTATATGTGAGCACCTAATTTTTGACAATATTTAATTTTTTGTCACTTCTTTTATGTAAATATTTTAGGGGTTTTAACCTACAATTTTTAGCTTTATTACACTTTTTATTATAGGGTAAAAATACAAAATGTTAAAAGGTGAATTATTATTATTATTATTATTATTATTATTATTTTTAAAATAATAAAAAAAATCCGAAAAAATATTAATTTTTTTTTATATTTATTTTCGGGTGAGATATAGAAAATAAGAAAAAGGGAAGTATGGAATAAAAAAAATAAAAGTAAAAGTGGGTGGAATTCTCTTTTAAAAAGTAAAAGAAAGTGGAAAATTAAAAGTAAAGTTCTGTGAAAATTTTAAAAAAATAAAAAGTAAAGAAAGTTGGAATTAAAAAATAAATATAAAGGTAGCTGAAAATTAAAAAAAAAGTGAGATTTTAAATAAGATAAAAGTAATTAAAGTTGGAATTTAAAAAATAAAAGTAAATAAAGGTGGGATTTCTTTTTATAAAAAAGAAAAACAAATTGTAAGTGGAATTTCTTTTAATTAAAAAATAATAAAATATTTTTTAAAAAAAATCTGAAAAATTTCGAAAATTTTGCTATAAATAGAAGAGAAAATCTGAGAAGAAAAGGGAAAAATGAGAGAAAAAAGGGGAGAATTGAGAGAAACAATTTTTTTTCTTCTTCTACGCTACGACAATTTCTACTCGTGTTATTCTTTATTCCTCTTTCTTTCGAAAATTACCAACAATTCAACACCCTAAAACCCAACAAAAAATACTTCAAAACATCCCCTTTTACACGCCAAAGAGTGGTGTTAACAGTCGAGGTCGAGGATTCCGTTGGAGCTCTGTTCACCGGTTTTGATGATCATCTTTGCTTATGCTTGTTCGGCGTTCGTCTGAGTTATTGTACATATTCTTGGAGACTCATTTAATTGGAAATCTTGCATTAAAAGGTTTATTCTTTCCTCTCTCTTTTTTTATCTTATTTTATGTGATTTTATTTATTTATTTTAAACTTTATAAATAATAATGTAAATCAATTCTTAAATGTTATATGTTTAATCATGTTTCTGAAAATATAGTATTTAAACTTGCTAAAAGTTTGGAAGATTTGGACACTAATAAGTTTAGGCTTCAATTGTTGGGATGTAGGGTATTGGTATATGATAGTAATTTATTTATTCAAATATCTAAAATCATACACTTTTTTCACAAACAATTCCATAACTTTTGGCCTTACAATAATCTTAAACTAGCTTAGGAAAATACTTCAAGTGCGCTAGTTTATTTAGGTGTGCTTTAAATAATTAAATATCATGGCTATGTGTATGGTCTCCGTGGCATAATTGTGATATGT